TGGAGAAACATTTAAATAATTTTGGCGACTCTACATCCAAAAAGACTAATTCAAATCAAACCAAATTAATTAATAATCCAAATGCTAATATTTCTTAGAAATTGGCTGATAGAGTTATTGTTGATTTTACAATTGATACAATTCAGCCAATGTCCTTGGTTGATAATCCATCATTTACCATGATGATTACAACTCTATCCTCTGGTACAACAATTTTATGTCGCACACTAATGAATAAAATAGCAGATAACTTTAAAGTGATGAAAGATGCTCTAATAGTAGAGTTATCAGAGATATCATATATATGTACCACGGCAGATAGTTGAACTTATAAAATGCAACAAATTACCATAAATATTTATTTTTATTACATAAATTTTTTTATAATCAAAACTAACTATATTTTAATATTTATAAATGTTGATTTTTATATATTTACTATACAATAACATTATAAGCAAAAAATAAAACAAATTTTTTTATAAAAAGTAGCTAAAGCTACTTTTGAAAAATAATAGCTAATAGCGAGCTACTTTTTTTGAATAGCGATAGCAGTAGCGCGCTACTTTTAAAAGTAGCGATTAACAACTCTGTTCCTAAGAAACATTTTGTGTATTAATTTATATTTCCAACATTTAAATTTTTTATACTTTATATATAAATTTTAAAGGCTCAAAAAATTCAAATTTCTATTTTGGGTTATTTAAGTGATTCTTATAGTGTTATATTCACTTTATATTTTAAATTCACATTTATTTTATAGTTCTTCATATACCGCCAATTATATCCGTTTAATATTTTTTAATTCACATTTATTTTAGTTTTTTATATGCCGGTTTATACATATTATTTTTTATAATTCACATTAATTTAAAATCGAGTATTAGAAATAGTTATAGTCCTAATAAATTCATGCTTGATATTTTTAAAAATTTTATTATCCCGCCCCCAGACCAAATTCCTACGTACGCGCCTGTTTATAAGACATAAACAAAATTAAAACATTTATTTGCAACCAACATGACTAAAGATGGATTGGTAATTGAAATGGTTATAAAATTATTAGTAAAAAGTTTAGAAAGTTATAAAGATTGTGTTACATCAGATTTTGTCAAATTTTTATACCCATACAAAAATGCATTTCCAAATGTTTTTCAAATATTCTGTATCAGTTTAGATCAATCGAGTTTTGAGTCAACTTTCACCATTAATGAGAATTATTAAATCAGAAAACGTTCGAGTAGTGATATAAGAAAGGATAAAAAACATAACCGATTAATTATGGAAATGTTTTCAAGGTATTTAAAAATACATCTCAACCAAATTATATTGTTAATACCTTATTTTTGTTACATTTACACTGCTTAATCATTGTATCGTAATTGTGGATAGATATTATATTTATTACTATAGCAAATAATTTTTACGAAGAGAAATACATGGGTTATTTTACGGGGGATTTTTTTCCCCAGTACTACTTTGAACATCAGCATTTTATCTTGTTTAAGCGTTTCTTATAGACGGTATATGGTTTTTTTAAATAATTAATTAAGGCCTAAAAAATTTAGCTTATTAATAAATTATATTTTTATAATATTTTTTTCTAAAATACTAATTTGTCTATACCTTATAAAGATGAGGGTATCCATTACAATGCAAATAAAAATATGACTTTATTATTAGTCTTAAGTAAATTTTATGAACAAATTCCGGGGGTTTTTTTTTGGGATTCACAAAATACATTTTTAAAAAATGACAGGATTATCTTACAAATGAATATACATTTGTAAAAAAAATAATACACCCACCCTTAACAGATCAAGCATCCTTATATTCCAAAAAAAAGCTACAACATAATTTAAATGTTGGCATAGTACATAATATTTTAAATTAAAAAAATATATAATGCACCAGGGTTTGTCGGTCACTTTAATCCCATAAATATTCGAGAATTACTTGTTTTTCAATAGCCTTGAACATCATTGTCAAAATATATAAGTAGTCACTACAGTATGGAGCGTTAGCTTGTTTCCCAGTGGCTTTCTTGATCATCGTTGTCCGAATATATAACCAGTGGCTTAATTGAACATCGTCTTTCAATAACAAATACGTCTTTTTGTCCATAGGAAGACGCCGTTGAATTTGCTTCACCAATTTCCCAAAGAAATGTGGCTTTTTTGTCCATATGAGGACGCCGTTGAATTCGCTTCACCAATTTCTCATAGAAATGTGGCTTTTTTGTCCATACGAGGACGCCGTTCATCTTATTCACGAATATACTCGATTAATATAAACGAATTATCCTATTTCGGAAAAAGGATTAATATAATCGAATAAGAGAAATATAAAAATCCTAATTATCATCATATTTCAAAAAGAATTTATATATTCGATTAGGGCTATGCCGACACATATTTTTCACCGATCCGATATTTTCCGATATTGGTTCAAAATCTAACCAATACCGATCCGATATTTATATTGATTTTTTACCACCCCCCTTTGAGCTAAATGTAATAAAAAATCCATATTTCCTATGAAAAAATAGATAATTTTATTTAATATTTTTATTTCTATAATTTAGAATATTATTTTTATTTCTACAATTTAGAATATAATTTAAAAAAAAATATATATTTAATGTATCAATTTTATTTTGAATAATATTATATATGTTAGTATGAATATAAAATTGTAATATTTAATACATAAAATTATAATATATTAGATTTTTTTTAAATAAATATGAGAGCCTATAAATTTTCTGGCCATAAGCTTCTACGATGTGAACGATCTGTATCCTCTGCCTTACTGAAGACAGACTCAGATGGGAAACTGCAGGAAGCGCCAAAGATTTACATGTAAGTTTTGACGAAGTTGATATACTTTTCAGCATCAATTCTCCTATGAGGTGGATCTACAGGGGATATATTATTAATGTTATTAGAGTTATCTTAATAAAGAACACAGATATAAAATTAACATTATAGTGGGTTTTGTTACGATTTGAGTTTATCGGTAATTATTCTATGGCTTAAGAGGTAATTGATAGATATTTCGAGAGAATTTGCAGAGATTATTAGAAGTGTAAAAGTGAAATATGTTGTAGAAGTGAAATCTAAAAATAAAAATTTAAAATAATTTAACGTAAAAATTGTCAACTTTATTATACTTTCAACTACAATTAAATAATTCAATTCTTTAAAACACAAAATTTACAATTTTATTAATGATTTCCAAAATACAATAATTACCAAAATTTATAATCTCATTTTTTTATAAAAGTTTGAATTTTTCAACTACAATTAAATAATTCAATTCTTTAAAACAAAAAATTTACAACTTTATTAATGATTTCCAAAATGCAATAATTACCAAAATTTATAATGTTTTTTTTTATAAAAGTTTGAATTTCCTTTTAATATAATAAGAATTAATATTCAAAAATTTAAAAAAATTCGAAGTTCATAACTTCTTAACAATTTTATAATAATTTAACATTAAACATTCAAATATATTTAAAAAAAATTAAATATTCCAATATATTCATATACAAAAATACTAAATATTAAATTTAAAAATTGCCGTACAATAATAATCAAATATACCAATTTAAAAATTCAAGTACAATAACTATTCAAATATACAAATTAAAAAAAAAACAAGTACAATAATATTCAAATATACTAATTTAAAAAAAAAACCAAGTACAATAATACAACATCACTTCCCTTAAATATTATCTTCCTACAGAGTTTTTAGCCTGTTCTCCATCTTCCTGCACCGATAAAAACTCGTTATTATTGGATGTTAAAACCGCCGTGGGACAATACCTCAACATATGCCCCCCCCCACAGGACCAACACTCTAATTTGCCTTTCTTGACCCAAATTTGCTCAGTACTTCTTTCGTAATGTTGTCTCTTGGACCTTTCCTGGAACAATTCCCCGTATCTTTGTTGTGCTTCCATTCGCGTAGCTTCTACCCATCTTCTTGATCCCATAGATCCATCTACTTTTCTGATCTCAATCTTTATAATCTTATTCCCTATTCTGAAATAGGATGCCATCTATAAAAGAATTCTATATTAATTTATATATATTTCTTAATACTCATTAATTTAATTTTACTCATTCATGACCCTTTAGGCAGTACATGAGGTAGTAGGAATGGTTAATAAATATTTATATAAATTAATTGTATAATTAGGGAAAGCAGAAAAATTTTAGACGATAAGGTTAAATAAACGAATAGTTTTTCCAATCTGAATTATAAGTCTAGAATTATCATCATTATCAGAAGAAGAAGCGAAATAATGTATTAGTAAAAATATTTTAATTATATGAATTTACAATTCTCAGAATCTGACAAATCTTTAGATTCTTTAACCTCTAGTACACGTGTAATAATTACACCCCCAGTTTAAGCCATCTTATTATAAGATGTATTAACAATTAAATATCTAATAAAAAAACCACTTAGCTATTCGTCTAATTTTAAAAAATATTCTTAAAATCTACTTTTTCAAAGCTTTTCTTTCATTATGTTTTTTTCTAATATGGTCTGTCCATTTATCATCTCTTATATTATGGCATGTGCAATTATTAATTAAGCATTTGTTTTGGTTAATATTTTTGGGCATATTTTGAAATTAGAAAAATAATTTTATGACAAGAAATTTAGGAATACAACCTTATTTGCTAAACATCGACCAAAATTTATTAAAATGTAATAATAAGACCCCCCCCCCTCCCTCCCACTTATTATTTAATTTAATATATTTGTATTAACGGAATCATGAGGTAGAGTTCGATCATAAACCTGAAATCATTTGGTTATGGATGGGTATAGTAAAACAATAAAAAAATAAATTTAAATGGTACCCCCACTTAAATTTTTATAAGCAGTTGCTCAGACCCCACCGTTGTAGGGGCCACTGTGTAGATTAGATCAGATATGAATGAATATAATATTTATAGACTATATTTTATTTAAATAAGACGGAGAAGGAGAACCATTGCTTGTGATAAATAGACAGCCATCGTCATCGTTCAAAATATTCTCCTATACTTCACGACAAGATTTTGTGAATAGCTTTATTTCTTACACTTGCCTATGCTTACGATCTTTATCCACATGGTCAAAGGACGTCAATTATCTTTTATCCATTCCCACTTTTACTAGAGTAACCTTCGGTATAACATGGGTATCTTTCGTAGTTGGCGCATTAGCTCTATGGGCTCCTACCTTCATGCAACTATCCGCTAATTCGAAGGGTAATGTGCACCCCGTCACTGAGGAACAAATCGGTTTGCGTTTTGGCTTAGTGACTTGTCTGGCCGGGGCCATAGGCTTAATAGGTGGTTCTGAGTTAGCCCGACGTTTAAAACATCGCGTCTCTGATTCTAACAAATCCCGGATAGACCCCCTTGTCTGCGGATTCGCACTTTTAATAGGATCCCCAATACTCATGATAGCTTTATACCTAGCCAAATTCACGGCCTATTCTTATCCTGCCTCTTGGCTGGGCTTTGCCGCAAATTGCTCCGCTTGGATCGCCATATTTTTGGCGGAGAGTCTTTTTTGCTCCTGTTGGGCGCTAGTGGTGGATATAACCCTTTCGGTCGTGCCCCCCGAACGTCGTTCCACCTCCCAAGCCCTGCAAATGTTGATCTCTCACGCCTTCGGGGATGCCTCTAGCTCTTACATCATTGGCGCGGTATCTCAAAATTTGTTGGATCTATGGTTGGAAAAATCAAAATTACCAGCGGGCTCCACAATTCCATTACCCAGCTTTGCCCAAAAATTTCGATCACTTCAATACGCTCTATATCTAACGCCTTTTGTAGGAGTTATAGGTTCTTCATGTTTTCTAGCCTCCGCATTTACTATTAACTCAGATTTGAATAAATTAATGACGGTTGACTACTAGCATATTATTTTTTGTTATCAGGGGAAAATTAATTATATTTGGTTAGTTACATTAATATGTGTATATATAGAAAAAATTGTTAATATATATTTTTTTATAATATTGATATTGTATCAAATATTATTATCGTTATTTTCGCAGCACTGTTTATGGTCCGTATTATATCAACCAATTTTTTAATGAAAGCCTATCACATAAATAGATGATTTCTAACAGTTAATTTTTCTTGGAGTTAAGCTTTATTAACATATCCTTACTATTTAAAAAAAATATTATAAATATAACATGGAATAAGACTATTTATTTAAGTATAGGTATTGTAATAGTTGAACCATAGTATTTTTTTCAGAAATTATAGCGTTTTATTTGTGGCGTTGGGAAATATGTTTAAATATAAAGCAAAAGTAGTGTAAATTAAGTCACAGGCCAATGGCAACCCACCTGACCAATCAAATTCAATTAAATAAAATACAAAAAAATTATTTCCAAAAAGCCTGAATAAATTTTTCCCACTTTTAAATATTTTATCTCGATTGTTCATATAATAAAGGCAAAGAATCTATGATATATTGTATCCATTTTTTATACAAGAGAGTTGTGGGAGGAGTGTAGAGGGAATTTTTATAAGCTTAAAATAATATTTAAGAGCCCGACTCGCCATGTCTATGTAAGTATAAGAATGATAGTTTACATTCATAAGAAGCTGTTGACATACCAATTATTAGGGCTGCCGGATAGTATTTATATAAAAGTTTGTTTGTGATCATTGAGGCTGTTTTATCTCTTTGCAGCCCTTAAAATAAAAGTTAAACATAAATCTTTAATAAGAATATAATTACAACCAGGGATCCAAACCGAAACTTATATCGGTTCGGATAATAATAACGGTTAAAGTTCAGGTTCGGCTCGTAAAAAATGAAATATCGGTTTGAACACTTGTATTCAAACCTACATTCGAATTATGTATAGAGAACAATATTTTTTTTATTTCATTATTAAAATAAAAAACACATATAAAACCTTCAACATTATAAAATAATATTTAATTTATAAATATAACAAATAAATATCAATGATTAATTTTAATATGAACAACATTTAACTTTATTTACTTAAAATTTTTAATTAAGCATCACAATTAATATTTTAAGATTCGTCTCACTCAAATTACATCTAGTTGAAAAATATCTTTCCACACTAACTTGGATGCCAGTATGATATCAGACAATTTACATAATTCTGAGTATCGATTACTCTGATTTCTCCAATAGTCTAAAATATTTCGAATACTAGTAGATAGCCCGTCAAAAATGACGGGGAGATAGAGAATTTTCTCCTTACTTTTATGATAGTTGTTACCTGTTATTTGAAAATAATATCCAATTTTTATTCTTTTTACCCCCTCCCCTTTTCAAATCCATTAAAACAGTGTAAATACTATATTTTGAGTCAATATAGTTAAAGCTTTTACTTGATACTATCAATATTATTTGTTAAATATTACTGGTCACCTATGCCTAATATTTAATATTAAAAATAATTCCCATGCAAGGTACAAAGCCATAATAATTTTAAAAGAATTCTTCCAAGCCCATCATAATGAATTTAAAAATACAATCAAAATCAGATTTTTATGGGCCTTGGTTTTTTGATCAGGCCAAGCCCAGGCCTGCAAAAATTTTTTTAGGCCAATGCCTGACCCAAAGTTAATAAAAAAATTCCCACCCATCCAAGCTGAGAATAATTTAGAAAAATTTTCCCCAAACCCATCCTAATATAATTTATATAAATATTTTCCAGGCCCAGTCCAACCCATAATTATTTTTTAAAAAAATTTTCTCAAGTCTGGCCAACCAATAGTAATTTTGAAAATTTTTTCCTATGCCTGGAGATAGGTAAATCTCTTAAGACCATACCTATTTTTTATTCATTTTAACCCAGCTCACCCATACTTCAGACCAAGTCCAACCCATTATGACTGTTACATATTCGTAACGATTTTTTTTTGTGTTAATATACCTTTTCATTTTAGATAATGAAGGTTTAAGGCGATCGTGTGATATATTAAATTTAACTTTTTTTATATTATGTAAATTGAATATAGAAAACCTTATTTTATAAGATATATATTTACATAAATGATTTACTTTTGATATGAAAAGAGATCTTATATTATAAAAATCAATCAGTTTTACATTATTTAGATTTGTTATTTTTAATAGTTAACAATAAAATACTTTATTCACATTCTAAAATATTATTATCGTACAACCGACGACAAGACAGACTACTAGCGAGTCCATTCTCAGGGCAAGAGTTTCCCCGCTTGTCTTTAAAGACTAAGAGTAAAAATATATTTAAATTAGCTTTTACCTGAGCATAAAAATATTATGTGTTAAATATTACACCTCTGCCTAATATCTAATTAAAAAAATTCCCAAGCCAGGTCCACGCACTTGAGAAAATTTTCTCAAACCCAAAAAAGACCATAATAATTTTGGTAGTTGAGAATTGAAATAAAATATATTAAAAGTCATAATGCATTTAAAATAAAATCAGAATATGAAAGTTGCATGGGCCTTGGTTTTTTGATCAGGCCTAGCCATGTCTTCAAAAAAAGATATTCAGGTCAATATCTAGCACATATTTAAAATGAAAAAATTTTCAAGCATCTAAAACCCTATTAATTTTGAAAATTTTTTTAATTGTGAAATTCTCAAACCCAGCAAAACCCATAATTTATTCTTTCCTTGAATCCAGAAAAATAGGTCCGATGTAAGGGGTTTATAAGAATTAAATCTGTTCAATATGTACATTTTTTTTTTTGCCTCTTATATTATTGGGAAAATTTTTCAAAATAATTTAGCATCAAATGAAGGAGAAATATCTGATTTTCCCATCATTCTACTGGTTAACTCCTGGTATTTATATGAAATTCATGAATACATATTAAAGTACCATGCCTTATAAAAATCAGTGGAAATATGTTCATCCTAATTTAAATTTTAAACAAACCACAACCCCTCCAAATAATAAATGATTTATTACACAAAATATAAAATTAAGACATTGTTATTAAATTACAATAGAAAAAATAAGATATTCTAAGTTAACAAATAATAAGAGGTTAACTTCAATCATAGTCAAATTATAAGTAAAACAAAAAGGTTATACATTTAACAAAAATGTTATAAGTTATATAAATAACATACATACAACAATTATGAAGTGATGAGAAATTATACAAAACTATGGAATGATGTAGGAAGACCAAATCTTCAGAAAAGATAAGAGAGATATTCAGTTGAAAGTTGCATGCATACCATGGAATATCCTATACGATAGTCAATATGGTAATAAATGGCAAAATTTTAAAAATATCAGATATGCTAACGGCAATTGAGTTGTATTAATAACAAAATCAAAATCTGCTTCCATGATAACAATTCCATTGATTTACCAAGTTAAAATTACAGACCTATGATATTTTATAAAAGTGATAATTCATGAAGCATGGTTTTTAATTTAATTCATCCATCATCAAATTAAGGAGAAAATTCTAATACTTTGTCAAACTTGATCTATCAGCTAGTAATCATATAAATGCAAATATTTTATTATGCATAAAAATCACCTAATTAAAAGATATATAATTGTATAAAATTCAAAATATATTTGATAATTTAAACATTGATACTGTGAAAATCTAAATATTAACTCTCTGAGAAATGGCTAGACTATATTTTTTAATTTGATATATTTTCATTTATTGATAATTTATTTAAAAGAGGCATCTTGACCTTGAGTATACAATGTGAAATATAAAATCATATGTAACATAAATTACCAATATCTTTAACGTCTTCTGGTGATGTATGGGTATTATATAAAATCATCATACTATAGAAATTGCATTTGGCTTAACATTTTCAGGATGATTTTAATTGGACGAATATTTTTTAAAATAATACTATTGGCTAAATTTGTTGTGACACGGCTTTTATATATATATATTCCCTCATTTTTGTAACAGACTTTGCTTCTTACCATCTTTTTTTAGGAAGACTTTCTACTAAATCCTCTTCAGATGAAGATACATCAACCAGCGTTGATTCACCTTCACTAGAATCTTCCACTCTTATAACAAGGTTTAATTCCATGTTATGCCATATTTTAATAATATGCTCTCTACCTTGGGTTTTTCTTCTTCTGTCAGAAGCACTTAAAATCTATATAATAAATTTAAAATATCATTAAAAAATCTTATTATTTTTTATAGATAGAATATAAAATAAATTTATTTGTTAAGGTAAATAAAATTATTAATAAAATTTATATAAGATATAATATTTTTAAAACATATCTAGATATAGGTATTGTTAAATATAAAATAAAACCTTTTAAGGTCATTTAAATTATTTAACCTTAAAAACAAAATTGTATTTTCTTACTTTGTCAATTTTTCTTTTTGTACTTTGTTATATGTAAAAACCTTAAAGTAAATTCTTTTTCTTTAACTAAAATAAATTCTTCTTAAATTTTGTAAAATTCTTCCTTTCTTAAATTTTGTATATGTAAATATCATATTATAAAAATTGTATATATAAGAGAAATTTTTGTTATTAAAACATAATAAAAAGAAATAAAATTTAATTTAATCATCGCCTTCCATGAAGTTATCATGGTGGCAGAATAGGTACTTCAGAGATTTTTTTTAGATATTTTTTCAGAGATAATTTTAGACACGACTTTAGCTACTGGAACATGTTCAAACTAGATGAAAGTGGATTCTGGAATGTTATGTTTATTTAATTCTAAAACACGTAAGATATGATCGAAATGTAAAAGATCTTATAAAAAAAAAGAAGTTTTTTAATAATAAAATCTCTAAATATGAATAAACCAATATAGGACCATAATAATAAAGCAAAATCCATTGATAAATTAGAAGATTGTTTGATATATTACGATAGTAAAAATACTTTAAGCTTAATACATAATTTACCAGATGAATTATTTTTGGCTATGGAAGCAATGGAACCGAGAGATGAAAGTTCAACTTACAAGGAAGCAATGTTTAGATTAAAATATTTATGTAATTATAAATCGGTAACAGTGATAAAAGAAAATTATCCTAATAATAGTTTTCAATGTCAAAATTATAAAAATA